TATCTTGCATATTTATAGTTCTACATATATACTTTCTTAAAAATAAGTTCCTGTTTAAGGAGATTTACTTTCTATCAGCATGTAAACAGTGGATTGTAATAACTTTCTTGTAATTTGTGCAAAATTTCAGGTAAGATAAACTGCTTTATGTATTGCTAGATTTTTTTTACTTGTTCTGAGCATATTTGTCTGGGCCCTCATGCTTGTTCAAATTTCTCATGTTCAAATTTTATGATATTTCCAGGCTTCTGCTATTTTATTTTAATTTAATTTAAAATTTAAATTTATATACCGCCCTTCTCCCAAAGGACTCAGGGCGGTGAACAGCCAGAAGTAAAAAACATCAAATACAAAATATAAAAACAATTTAAAAATGAATTAAACAATTTGGCCCGACAGTTAAAATCTCCCATTAATAATCCAAATTAAAATACACAATTGGAGAGATTAGGCCAGCCTGACTTGATGAAATAAAAAGGTTTTAAGGGCCCGACAGAAAGTATGTAAGTCTGGAATCATCTGTATCTCCGGGGGGAGCTCGTTCCAGAGGGCAGGTGCTCCCACAGAGAAAGCTCTCCCCCTGGGGCTGCCAGTCGGCATTGTTTGGCCGATGGCACCCGGAGGAGCCCCTCTCTGTGGGAGCGTACTGGCCAGTGGGAGGCTATCGGGGGCAGAACTTATCATGATTTTGCTTTATGCTCCTTGAACTCTCAGGAAGGAGCTGTACCTATTGTGTACCTAAGGTGGGAAGAGCATCTACACAGAAAATGTAAAGAATTAGTTGTTTATAACTTGATTCTGATTTATTGTAAACTTGCCATAAAGTTTAAAGTTGAGTATAGTTTATAGTGCTAAAAAGCTAAATATGTAAAGACTTTAAACAATTGATGTGCTATATAAATGTCTTGAATTTTGTTTTTTCTTGAGAAAGATTTTCAAAGTCATATATCCAAGTCTTAAAGATGAAAAGTATTTGCAAAATGCAGTGGTCAATGAAGTTTTTCGAGCAGCAGAGATAATTGCAAGGAAACAACTGGACTATAAAAAATCTGAAGATAAAAAGCACTGTGACACTCTTATTGGAACAGAATCCCAATTTCAGCAATCTAGTTTCCAGATGTATTTGGATGATTTTCCTTTCTCTGAAGCTGATAGTAAAATTATGCAGCCGATGGCTAAGGGAAATGTTATCTATGTACCTCTTGCAAAAATCTTTTCTTTTTCCAAAGTGAATCAACTTTGTGGTACCTTTGAAAAACTCAGTAAGCTCATAACTGGCAAAATCACACTAAGCCATGATGGTTCTGCAGTGATGATTGAGATGGAATATGAAGATGAACAACAGGATAGTGATCAGAATTAAAAAGAACTGTTCCTGTTATGAACAGAATAGTCTAGTAATTGAAATACTAGTAATTGCTGGTTTAAAATTGGACTTAAATACTATAATCAGATGTGACATTTTCACATTAAATTGGATTGTATATGGTTGAGTAACTTCTTAGTGTCCAAGAGTGGCACTTGGTTTTGTTTTTCACCTGAGGAAGGTAGCTTATTCCCAAGAGGCCGTTGCCCACAAAGTGGATAAGGTAATGTTATACTATATAGTACTTAAGGGGGAGAGGGAAAATCCTCCCTTAAAAGTGTAACAAAAACTAAAAAATTCAAATCCAAGTAAGCAATACAACTTTTCAAATAATTGGAAGTAGAGCGAGAGTGAAGTTTACTCGTCCATGTGTTTTACTACATAACTCTGAATAAGAATGCATGTGAAAAGATGTCAGTCTAATCACAAAGCAAAAAAAAAAGTTATTAAAACAAAAGTTTAAAAAATTATTTTCCTAATTTTAATACTGGAAAATGTAAAATTTAAGAAGTTTTGTACTAAAATATAGAGATTGCTGTACAAAAGATCATTAGTATACTAGATAAAATGAAGTATTTGCTAGTAATACTAAAGTATGGTAAACATTAAGTACTTAATAAATCCCCTGTAATCATGTATTATGCTTTGGAACTTTTTCTCCAAATGTCTTAATGTTTCTATGCTACAAAATAATAACTTGCCAATTACATGTTGCATTTTTCTGAAAATGACAAGCATGCATAGTGATTGATTTGCAGCTGGGAATAACTATACAGATAGTTTCGATCGTGCTTTCAAATTCTATCATTACAGGAATGACAGAAACTGATCCTGCCACAATTCTTTTTGTGATGGACGTTCTAAATCTAAAACATTGTTAGTGATAAGATGCAGTCCTCACTTTGGTGTCATTAAACTGGTTTATATCAAATATTTTCGCTCAATTATAATAAAATATCTTCATTCTATCTCTTCATATTTAGAAATATAAAGGCTGTTCTCTGTACATTCTGTTGACAAATATGATTTTTCTATAATTAGTTTTGAAATATTGCTTCGATTCCCAGCAACAGTGAAGCGCATGAACGTGTATGCTATTTTTCCAATGTGGCAGTGAACAGTTCTATTACAAGTAGCACTGGCATGCTTTCATAAATACTGCCACTGTTTCTCACCTTTCACAACTTTAGGTTGTTTCAAGTTTGACTTCTAGAATTCCCCATGCTGGTTGCAGTATTTTGGCACTTGAAGTCCGTATATATTAAAATTGCTAAGGATGTGACACTATATTAGATAATAATCCTAATTTTATCCAATCTTTCTCTCTCCCCCATATCCCTGAGAAGAGTGGAGACTAGCATGAAATTTCAAAGGAAATTTCCTATAACAGTTTATTTAGTGAGTATATTTACAGGTAAAACACATAGGATTTTATTTATTTATCATATTTATATAGCTGGCCATCTCACACGAAAGTCATTTTGGGCAGCATACAATATTTTAAAATATTATAGAATAAAAATGCAAAAATTAAATGAAAATAGCATGCAAAAAATGTGACTCATAATTAGCTGTGTCAAGAATCTGATGGCATATGACATAAATGTGGCAAATAAATCTAGTAAAACCAGATTCACTAAACATGAAGTTCCTTTCTATATAAAATTAGAGCAGTGATGGCTAACTTTTTGTCACCGCGTGCCAACCTGCATGCCAGAAATGCAAAACCATCCTGCCTGGACCGTGCGGCCTCGCTGGCTGCGCATGTGGGAGCACCAAAACCCCAAAGACCAGCGTTCCGTCACGCATCCGTGTGCCGGCACTCAACTTTTAGTTTCCGGCGCGGACACATGATCGACAAACAGCGACGGAAACCCGGAAGTTCAGGTGCTGGCACATACATGCGCAACAGAAAGCTGCTCTCCTGGGTTTCGGTGGGCACGGAGGCCAGCTGACCGGTGCGTGTGTGCACAGGAACACGGAAGAGGAGCCAGCGAGGCCGCATGTTCTTTGCGGGATGGTTCTGTGTACCACTTCCAGCAGGTTCGCCAACACAGGTACCGTTTCCATAGGTTCGCCAACACAGTATTAGAACATCAAGTCTCTGGAATCTGTACCATCGGATCCTTAATTCTGTGCTGCATACCACCCAAAAGCAATCAGGAAAGTAAAAGCGGCAGACAGATCAAGGAGAACCAAGAAGACTGCCTTTCCCAGACTCCTTACAAAGAACATCAGTTAGGATAATTAGTGGTTCCTCACTCCAATGACCAGGAATCCAGATCATTAACAGCACTTTAACCACCTTCAGGTGAGTCTTACCTAAAAAAGAGCCTGTAGGAAGTGGATGATCTTTTTAAATATTAAAAAGGGTGGTTTTCCCCAAGTATGCAAAGTACTATTATTAAAGTATCCAGCATCAATCCCTGCAAATATTTACTGAATTTACAATATGTTCCATAGTTGGTGAAATCAGCCATGATAAATATGATCAAGAGGCCCTGCACAGCTACAAATAACTACATCCTCGGACCTTACACTCTGAAATGGATCTATAATACAAAACTCAGCCAGATGATATGAGACAGATGTATTGACTGAGATCAATATAAGCACTGGGAGGAGCTATTTTGCCTCCAAAATTCCTTACAAGTGAGTTGTGTATCCTGCACTAGAAAGTAATGAATAGGTTTCACATAGTATGAAACTTTTTTTTTTAATAAAAAAAAGCTGGTTAACCAGGTTAATATATTAAGAGAAATACATTTCTTGGCATCTTTTATTGCCAAGCTCTACTTAACTTGTCTCTAATTCTTTAGTAAAATACTTAATTGTTGAGGCTGAGATATTTCATTAGCTGAGGGTCTCAGAGGTGTGTCCAGAATCTGAAGATTTGTCAGTGATAATATGTGATGTGATGCAAGTTTCATCTTTTTTATGTACATGGAACATTGCAATGTAGGTACTAAAAGGCATGGAGTTTGCTTTGTGTTGCCTTGATACTTTGTCACTCTTTCTCTCCCCCCCCCCTTCCTGCAAAAATGCATAGGCTCTTTGTTTTAAGGAATTTTCAACTCTGGTTTTTAATTTAAGCAAGTACATTACAGAAACTAATATAGACAAGAAAACAGAAGGCAATGTGACCAGATAAGCTAATTTACCTTTAACTTATCTATTTTATAGGAAAAAGTAAAATAAATAAAACCATTGATTGCACTCAAAATCCATTTTATACAAATTCTTACTACACTTAGCAAATAAGTGAATTATTAATATATGATCAATATTATCTTTAGCACTAGGAATTTAACAAAAGGATTTAAGAGTTCCAACAAGAGAATGGAACACCTTGAATAGAATTTTATCTTCTATGGAAAATTATTGGCTCAAATAAGCCAGTTATTCAGTGGGTGAGAGGGACAGGGGTGGTGGCTGCGGCTTGTAGCCTTTAAAATAAAAAAACTGAAAATGGGGTGCAAATAATTTAAAAATCCTTTCACTTTCTGCATGTTATTTTCAGGAAAGATAACCTGCTTTCTTTGGAATTAATTCTTATTGTAGAGGGAAAAAGTAATGCAGGAAAAATATTTAAATTTCTGTGTGATTTTTTTATTTTAAAAAAGAACAGTAAAAGTTGAGGACAAATTTTATTGAATTTGTAAGTTCACTTTACAATGAAGTATTTTATGATAAAAATGTTGGTTTTAATAAAAAACATTAGCATGTCAGTATACAGTTTACACAAGTTTAATGCCATATAAATATGAAGATCATTTCCCATGTCTCAGATAGTACTGGAATCACTTCATTAAAATAATACAATTAATAAAAGTGCATGATATTTGTTCAAACTTTACACAGAAGAATTAATACATAGAATGAGCATATGGAATAAGAAGAGTTACCACCAATATGTTGAATGCCAAGAGAGAAATTCTCTCTGTACTAGTTCTAAAAGGAACAAAATTGGATATTTCTAATGGACTAATATTGCATTTGATGTACTAATTATATTCACTGGAATATTTAGTTGAGTGTGATAATTTCTCATTATGAGTACTGTAAGTGACCCTGTCATTTATTTTAACCAGTTATTTTCCAGGACTAAGATCATTCCTCAATAAATTCAAGCACTATCTTAGGTTTGTTTTACTTAACCACACTACTAGAAAGTTCAAAGTAAATTAAAGTGTATTTCAAAATAAACCATGTGCGTTCCCTTTCCATTATTTTAATAGCAGCTTTAAAAAAAACCACTTAGTCAAGTTAGAACAAGTTGAAACATAATAGAACACTGTTGGGTACCATAGTAAAGAAATATTATTTTAAGAGTTCACACATGTGATTTCAGCAAAAAAGCTATGATATTTATAAAAAACTATTTCAAACATTAAAAATCCTTCATTTAACTAAAAATAACTCATACTCTTTTCAAAAAGAATCAGTGATACCATGAAAACAGTAAAAATAAGACACTAAATAAGATACCTATAATTAGCTTATTAAAAGTTATTTTTAAAGGTGTATCAATTTCTATTTTTTAAAGATATGAGACTAGCTACTAAACAACTATTGATATAGTTAAAGATTATTGGTAGTTTTCATATCATTAGCAAAAAAAAAGTGATGTTTCTGCTGTCAGATAATGCTTTGTTGAAATTGTTGCATAGGCAAATTATATTGTTTTGTTTATACAGATGTTTATGCATCACAGTTCTGCCAGGAGATTTCTTCTGTATATGTCTAATTGAAATAAATTCTATTTAAGAAGACATGGGAAAAAAGCAATTTAATACTGGACAGCACTAGACGCAAAGCATTCATCCATGTCAGTGTATGCACGGGTGATGCTGCATCTGACAAGTATTTCCTTCATATATGGACCATGACCGGCAAACATAATGCAACAAAAAGTAAGGAAATTGCTATTATGCCATTTGCTCAATTTACGTCAGGCCTAAGTCGGAACTTCAACTAAAATAATGGATTTCACATGGACTGAAGTAACCTTTATAAAGTGCTTATCTTTATAGCGGTTTACTATTTATTATTAAAGCTTCATAAAATAGTTTGTTATTTCCTTTTCCCTTAGAAACAAGGCACTCTCAAATGATATTTTCCAAGCTCTCTCTGCAAATCATCTTGTGAGCTCAAAGTTCTCATTCAATCCTATAATAATGATTTAGGTACAGACTAAATGTCAGTCAATACAACCTCATACTTTTTCATATTTTAAGAATACGTACAGCAGCTGTGTGGCTCTGAGTATGTTCAACAGTAATAAAATATGCGTATCATTCCTATTTAGGGCTAGCCACTCATTTTCAAGTGATAACAAAAATACATTACTGAAATGCATGTCATGTTTTAAAACTACACACGTTTATAAAAGTACTACTTTCTCAAAACACTTCCTTGAATGAGTACTTTCCATTTCCTATTCTGATTTGCCTATAGAAAACATTACTGAAGGTCTTACAGACAACTGATTTCAATATAGGTTCAATTATATAGAATGTTTTCCGCTTTCCAAAAAAAACCCCCCAAACCCCACCCCAATTTGATTTACATATGGAACAATGCAACAACTCCATCAACAAATCTGCCAACAAATTAGCAGCATGCTAAAAGATGGGAAATTGCCCTTATAAATGATGTCAGAAGAAGGTGTTTTCAATATAAAGTATCTAAATAGGCATAACAGTGTATGCCAACTTTCAGAAGATCTCATCCTTCATAATATTGAGAAATAAATTCTGGAAATCCATCAACTTAGTCCAGTTCTTCTAGCGTTTTATAACTACTTGTTCATAAGCTCCAGATCCGGCTCTGAAAAATTAGAGGAAAAATTAGAAACAAAAGGAAAGCTTGAACTTGTACAGGTAGTCCTCACTTAATGTACACTCATTCAGTGACCATTAAAAGTTACAGTCACACTGAAGAAGGGATAATGAAAATGGGTCCTAATGGTTGTAGCAGTTGTAATGCCTGTAGTCATGTGATTGTAATTTAGGCATTCGGTGATCTCATAGTATCAATCAGCATTTGCAATCTTCACCGAAGACAGTGGGAAAACTGGCAGGTCACAAATGGTAATCATATGATTGCCAGATGCTATGACTCTTAAGATTCGCCTAACAGTTGCAACTGCAGGAACCATAATCATAAGTCAGTGTGATCATGTAATAGTGCACTTTACAAAGGCATTGCTTCGGCAAAGGAGTTCTCATTGGTAAGCAGGGACTACCTGTAGAGCAATTTATGCTTTCACATACAATAGAAATTTAATATTGTGAGACATTTGCAGTTTTCATTTTTAAAAAATCATGTCTAAGTACCAGGACATAATGTTAGCACATTCTGTGCTCAGTTGATAGAATGGAAACATTTTCAGAAGATTTTTCATACCAGAGAGGCACACTGGGCAGTACGAATGCAATAGCTAGGTAAACATTTGAAGACACATTTTGTTGTGGACCCTTTTTGTCCAGCAAATAATGGCTAATAATTTCACTTCCTCATGTGGAACTTGGCATAAATCCATATGAAAATTGAGAATATTACTACTTATATATTTAATTTTTTTTTTCTAGGTGTGCTTTAAAAAAATGAAATCCATCAAAGTTACATTAATTAGAATCTAGACTCAAATGGTTCTTTGGAACTATTTTTATTTAACCATAAAATGAAAGCCATAGTCTTAGAAACAAGAAAAAGGGGAAAGCAACAAAGCTCATATAGGAGGCTGATAGGAAATCTCAGGTTTGTAGGCTAGATTGGAACTTAAATTAGCTTGCCAGTGTGTGGCATGGAAATAATACAAATTATTTCCATTTCGCTGCCAATTGAGTTAACTTTTTAACCTTATATCTGCTGAGAAAGAGTAGCAAGATTGTTTTGGGAGCAGGGTTTTATGTTAACACTTGTTTTTCAGAAGAAGCCAAAATGTTAAAGAATTAGGGGGTTCTGTTATCCCCCCACCAATTTACAAGTAAGTTTAACCAATGTTTAAAATGCAACATAAATAAATGCATTCAAAGAATGAAGGAGGTCTGTCTTTTATATTTGCAAGTTGGACAACTGGTGTAATTTCTTCTTCCTTTTTATATATAATGTTCTTGTTTTCCTGTTTGTTCCATGTTCCCCTATCCTTTTCTCTATCTTCAATATTAGAGTGTAAAAGAAAGACTGTGTTATACTCTGTCATGCTATATAAAATGAACGTTTTTGACGCTTTACAGTAATGATTTAAATCAATGTTTCTCAACCGTGGCATCTTTAAGATGTATGGATTTCAATTCCCAAAATTCCCCAGCCAGTATATCTGAGTGAGGAATTCTGGGAGTAGAAGCCCATACTTCATAAAGTTGTCAAAGTTGAGAAACACTGGTTTGAAGTGTTGGGATATGGTTTCCACTGCTGATTATGTCACAGATAAAAGGATGCATTACATTAACAACATACCTATTAGGTAAGTGATGACTTCCAAAGGCAGTGCTTCCTCCAGGACCTACAAAAAGTCTTAGTCCTTCTTCTGCAAAAATAGATATTAAAAAATATGCAGTATTACTATGTTTGACAAACTGTTTTGTGGAAGAACTATGACACAATGTTTCCCGTTCTTTCTTCCAGCCGTAAGTATGGCTAGGAATCTTTGGGAGCAGAAAGGGATATGATGGGAGAAGTTTCAAACAAACTGGAATTGTGGATTCTCCAGAGTTACCAAATTATACATAGATATTTAATAAATAAAATAAAAATACAGTTGTCAAGAGTATTAATCCTATAAATACATTTCTAATCTGAACAGTTGTTTCTCCTCAGATTGTCAAAAGGATTTAATGCTTTCATCAAAACGATCAAAGCAGCATTGTGCTGCAAGTCGGCCAATGTATGCATGCATATATCATGACCACATCCAAAAGGGGTGGAACATATCTTTGTCTCACTGGTGTAATGCTCTTTGCATAATTTGTCCCTCTCTGTGGCTGCTGCTACATTTCTTCAGTAGATGCTATTTTTAGTAGCTTTAATAATTACTACTGTCAACTCTGAATCAAACCTAGCTGGAGCTGTTTTGCCGCTTCCTAGTTGCCACACACTTTGGGGGGGGAGGAAGAGGGGGGAAGTATTGGGATGCTTCGCAGACATAATAAAGATTTTTTCATGGTCATGAACCAAGGTCATGCCAACAGGTGTCAGTTGAGGGAGGAAAGGAATGACCGAAGGGCCTGTCAACTGCTCTAATTGAACAATGTGACCTGTGACTCATGGGAAGGGGAACTTCCACTCTTTTAATTATGCTGAAACTATGGGAAACCTTTAGAATTGGTTTTCACCTAGCCGTGCTGATTTGATGTGTCCAATAAACATATTCTTTGAGGGACTTTCCTATCTCTGAGTTCTAATTTCTTTGGATGCATTACTTGTAACCTTGACAACAACATCATTAGCGATTTTCCTCTGTATAACCTAAGAGTTGGAATGATTCATCAACAATTTATTCTCAAGTTTTCATTCTTGTTTTACAAACCTTCTGCACTTGAGTCCAAACTGAAGTCTTGAGTCTGCAGTATTTTTTCAACAATGTCATCTGCATCAACTCTTGTTGCATCAACCCTCTTCAGCTGTGATTCCACAGAATCCTGTTTTATTGGTAGCCTATGAAAAATATGAAATATCTAGAAATGCTATGCTCCAGAACAATGATCAATAACTACCATATTATTAAATCTTCCATAGTATTTTACCTGTTTGAGTTTTCTGAGAGTGCATCTTTCATAGTTGCTTTCAGATTATCCTCGGTGCTTCTCGATTCAGCCTCTTCACATGGCTCTAGAATACTACTTATACCAGTTGATGTGCTTCCCACAGAGGTATTCCTTTTATGACAGAGATCAGAGAAACTGGATGATCTGGAATGTGCAGTACTGTATCCTAAAATATATAATTATTAATTCAGAGCCATTAACCTGATGCCATGTCAAAATTTCCAGCTTCTTTTAACCAGAATATGCCATTTTTAATGTATAGCTATTTGTGATTTATTTGATTATCAGCAACTAGTAAGTACTTGTACTTAGCAAAGGTATGGAACCTTAAATCATTACAGGTAGTCCTTGACTTACAAAAGTTCATTTAGTGACCGTTCAAAGTTACAACACTGAAAAAAGTGACTTATGACCATTTTTCACACTTACAATTGCAGCTTCCCCACAGTCACGTGCTCAAAATTCAGATGCTTAGTAACTGATTCATATTTATGACGATTGCAGTATCCTGAGGTCATGTGATCACCTTTTGTAACCTTCTGACAAGCAAAATCAACAAGGAAGCCAGATTCACTGAACAACTGTGACAAGAAAGTCATAATGTGGGGCAAAATTTACTTAATAAATGTCTCACTTAGCAGCAGAAATTTTGGGTACCATTGTAGTCGTAAGTTGAGGACTACCTGTACTATATTCTAAAATAACAATTTAAAACCTTCTGAACATCCATTAAGGTTCAACTAGACCACCAACTATGCAAAACAAAAATCTAGACTCGTAAGAATAATAAATCCATATGAATTATGAGTTTTGCAAAGGCGGACCATTTGCAAAAGTTTCTTAACCTAGGAGAACTTAGGGCATGAATATTACTAAGCAGCAAGTTTACCATGACAAAGGAATGGTTTTCATCACAAGCATATCATTTAGCAAAAAAATATCAAGTCTAAATGAATCTAGCTTCACAGATTCACGTCATGTGCACAGATTCAGAATTGCCATGTTGGCCATGAAATCTTGATTTGTGCCTACCTGGAGGCTTCAATGTAAACACTAAACTCCTCAAATAAAATTGGGTCACCAACATATGTTAGGAATTACCTTGTCAGTTCAGAAAGAAAGGCAGCTAGATGAATTCTACATATTCATTTTCTACTACAGAATTACAAAACCTGCTACCTGCTGAATAGGAGAATAAACTCATAAAATACAAGACTTGATTCCTAGAGACTTAGCTGCTGCTAGATTTAAAGAGAGCCAGTTTGGTATAGTTGTTAAAGACCTGAGTTCTAGTTCTGCATGAAGGCACAAAACTAGTGGGGTGACATTGGGCCAGTCACTGTCTCACAGCTCTAGGAAGAAGGTAATGGCAAATCACTTCTGAAAAACCTTGCCAAGAAAACTGAAGGGATTAGTATAAGACTCAAAGTATGAAAAAACAAACAAACCTGATATTGGTAATGAAAAGGGGAAGGAAGGTACTGGGAAGTTTAGGTATGCTGGGGCCAATGATAATTTATTTCTTTAAAAATGATCTACTAAATCAAACAGGAGTCTCCACTTGGAGGGAAGGCATAAAAAAATTAAATTAAAAAGCTAGCAACAAAATTGAGAGTGATTTACTACATCTCTTTCATCATACCATATTTTGCTAATGCATGTCAGAGAACTTTGCAAAATACAAAATAAGTCTTTTTTTCTTTCTTTTTTTAAACTAGTCTGGTACTGATAAGCAGCCTCTTTTAGTTCAAGGGACATCTGGTAAGCCCTTCAGTGTCAGGGCCAAAGTAGTGGCTGAAAAATCTCTATCTAATTTGGCCTTACTTGAATGCAGGAATGCAAAGAAGGTAAAGAAGCACCTATCTCCAACAGACATTATGAGAATTAGAGGTAAAAAGAAATTTAAGTCTCTTTAAAGTGGACAGCGCAGGAAAAGAGAGTGAAAATTCTGAAAGCTTATTAGGTACAAATGCTAAACAATACTTTCTGCTTGCCTAGAAATGGTGAACTCGATGACTACTGATTCCTGTAAAACAATAAAAGTAGAGTTGTTTATCCTTGCCTCAATGGGTATCTAACACCCATGACTTGGGAACAACACTCATATAGCTCACATGTTTTTTTTCCTGCTAGCTTGTACATTCTCCATCACTGTACTTCCTTGTTGCATGTCACTCTCTGAATGGTAGTATATCGCAAAGAATAATAGTTTTACCAGATACTTTTGATTGTTGGCTTGCATAACTAGAAGTCCTAGAATGTCCACATGCTCCAAATTCATCTGGGACTGAGATGCTCTTGCTTGTAAAATCTGTTGGGGAAAAAAAAGTCAGATTGAACAGCACTACTGCTGGATTATTTCCTCAGTTAACTGGGCTATTTGTAATAAAGACTTGATTAAAATTAATCAGTAGTTTGCTGAATTGATCTCTAATATTATACCTTTGCACTATATATGAGGAATTATTAGCATGCAGATAACATTAGGAAATAATTGTAGGTAACTATGTTAACTCGTTTACTTCTCTAATAATGATCTGTCTTGCTACAAGGAACTTGATTCCTGTATTAAAAATCCTCTATTTTGTCTTCATTTAGCTTTAAAATTTAAAAATTTATACTGAAAAATAACTCCATCACATCTGTTATCACTACAGAGGACTAAAAAGTAATTTGTAATCTAGTAAGGATGGATATTTGTAAATCATGTTGATCACCTATGTATCTCAATATTCTTTTTAAAAGCCATCCCAACACCTGAATCAATGCTGGTAACTAAGAAATGAGTTACACATTCCAGCAACAAAAATTGCTTGAAGTTTAAATGAAGTTTAAACAAATTTGAAATGTAAGATACTACATATCAGAACGTTTCTCCATATTTAAAACAGTCTGTAAGTAAATAATTGTAATGCAAGAAGGCGTTCTTCAAAATAACATCCTAGCTTTTTTTAGACAGTAATTTTTCACAAAACAGATAATCCTAAAATTCTATGCCCCTTTATGTTATCATATACATTGAAATACCATAGGTGTCTGTCACAAGGATGGGAAACTGTATCATACACCATGGCACATAAACGCTGGGTGATTTCCACAATGATGTTATATATGATATTGTTGCTTATTCTAGATACCTATAAGGCAGTACGTTTATATAGACATGTCAGGCATGTTTCTTAGATATACCTGATTAGTTGATTTGTCATAGAGAAATATTTGAAAGAGAGCTATGCTGAAGTACAATGAATTATCTTAAGAAGACTTATACTGAGTTTACTGAATAAATATTCATTTTCCTGTGACGGATCGCCTTCCACAGTTTCCTACCTGATACGGTCAAATGTGACCCTTTAGTGTTCTCTGCACCTTTTCTGTCTTCATGTAGGGATTCTGATTCTCCAGCAATTGGTATAGACATTGATGTAGATGGAGGTCTGCAATCAAAGAAGTTTGAGATGGAAGATTGTTGTGTATATACTTGTGTGTATGCATACCTAAGGGCAACAGGCTTTATGCTATAGTTCATCAATAATTTTCAGCTCTCCAGACATTTAATCACTTACTCGGGACTTGGCTTGACTCAACAGAAAAGTCAGCTAGATAATACAATGCAAACATCAATGAAAATTTACACAGCAGCCAATTGCCTATTCTGGAGCAAAGAATGTATAGAGCTTTTATATATTTGTGCTGCAGAGTTAAACTGGCTTTTCCCTCCTATTTTTAAAATTAATGGTTATTTGGTGATTTGATCAATGGTCTTGGGGAGATGAGAGTTGTTTATATAATAGTTCCTTGTAGTCTGAGAACTGCTGGTTGTTGCCTCATCATGTTCAGCCATTAGAAGGGGAAACATGCATGCGTTCTAACACTACTGCAAAGAAGGATAATTTATAAATAATAATTCTGGACTGAATTAGGACTGAGGACTGAGGAAAAACAATTGCGAAAAATTATGAACTATTGGGACTTGAAGATCGAAGGTGAATGCTTATGAGAAAAGAAATCCATTATTATACCAGTCATGATTTGAGCCCTGGAACGATACCTAAAGAACTTCCTCGGTAACTGGAAATATTGAATTTATCAGATCTGAACACTCTAATTTTACACACGCACACCCCCAAAAAACAAACCCCACTCTACTTGGAACTGTCTATATTCTTTTAATTCTGAATAATTCTTAGGTCCATGGTTAGGCTTTGAATTATTAAGTTTCCACCAGTCTTAGACTGTGAATCTAAACTATAGAATACTCACACGTAGTTATAAAACAATCTCTCTGTCAACAAGTCAGCATCTGACAACAAGTGGGCAAGAGACTCAGGAGCTCTGGTTGGGCTCCTGTGGGAAGAACAACCACCACATATAGATACACACACCCACACCCACACGCACAATATATACATATATATATATTATAAAACAAAAATTTCAACATAGGGAAATAATTTATCTGGATTCAAATACCACTGAACAACAATTAGCAGATCTAAGGAGATTCATTACCAGAAATAAAATATTCAGGGAAGCTGAACTGGAAAAGATTAGGAAAAATTGTAAATATGAAAGGCCCAAAACCAATAGTAGAAGAAACTCAAATAATAACAATTGCGAATAGAAAAGAAGTGAGCTGAGTGAACTAGAGATAACGAAGAAGTAATAACAACAGAACCAGTACAGGCAGCACTGAAGCAACCTATGAACTGCCTCCCTGACCAGAAGAATTAAAAGAGAAAATTATGGCAGATGTAGAACTACCAGCAGAAGGACAAAGACTGCCAGCATTGAAATTAGTGCCCAAAAAAGATCAGATATCTATAATGAAGGATGTGAATAAGGTGCTTGCATGGAGTAAAATAACATCTATTGAACAGATGCTTAATAGTCAGAGAAAGAGGAAGAACTTGCCCTAATTGGTCAGGCTATAGAAATAGACAACAGGAAATTTGTACTTTCAGATATGCAAGATTCTATTACTGTAGCCTTACAGTAAAGTAAAATTGGCTCATCTGGTTGTGTTTCCTGTCTGGTGTATCAGGAAGGGCTGTCAAAAACATACTAAACCACTCCAGTGAACAATGAATTAGCATATCACCTTTTTCTCTCAGATCCTTGATGTGGATCCTTAATCCACAATTTTTGCAAGCCAATTCTACTTTATTTCGGTTATTTTTTTCACTTAAGAGGGGAAAGGCAATATTAGTCCATCCGGCTTTTATAATTGGTTGAAATACCATCTGGAACAAGCTTCCTCAATGTTTCTACCATTATTTGACAGGCAAAGTTTTTTTTTTTAAAAAAAATAATAATCTTGGAGCAAAGATACACCGTCATCTTGAAAAATACAAGTCTTCCTGGTATGCAACTGCCAGGTAAAGCTTTAATTTCTACTCTGCAACTCGTCTTGCATGCTACATCCAAATCCAGCTCCACTGAAAAAAATCAGAACTATCGTATGTTAATAAGATTAAACATGAAATTCCAAAATGTAACATTGAGTATCTAATGCAAACATTAGTGATATTTTTTAACATTATGAAGAAATGAAGATCTACCCTGCTGGAAAATAACAGTTCAGTTCATTATACTATATGTGAATGACACATCAAACTATTTCTAAATAATCAGAAAGCCTGAAAATAAATTTTCAGTAGGAAATACAAGTAGTACTCAATACAAATGACATTTACAGATGACTCAGAGTAAATACAGAACCAAACAAGCCTAATTACTATAGTTGTTTACTCTGGGCACTCTGGGCACGAAGGAAAAACTGCTATTATGGTATTATAAAGACTAACAAACTTGTATCGATTACTTCAGGTCCTCATATCTGAATTTTACACTGCTATTTAAATCTATGCAGTTTAAAATAATTAACTCCAAATTAAGAATGTATACTGTTTTATAGTACTGTACATTTCTTTTTGCACTACCTACAGTATAAGTAAATTATAACATGGCTAATGGAAAAGAAAATCTTCCAGCTGCACTGCCACAATTAGCTCACTCACTGAGCTACAGTACATGACTCATTGCAAAAGTCTAGAAATTCATCCCAATCCTACTTTTTTTCTTTCTGGTACAATCCATGTATATAGCTTTCTGGAGTAGCACATATACAAACGGTCTCTTATGGATGAGAAGCCAAACCACAGAAGAAAAAGAACATCTTTAATATCCAACATACAGTAGGTCAATGCAAGGTATTCATCTGTATTACTAATTGAGTATGTTATTGTTAACAAAGTTAAAATATATAACCTTAGGAAATAAAGACAAGGTTGTGACTAAGAGGAAAGGGTCCTTCAACATTGCTCAATAACTTCAGACAAGAATATTGCTGATATTATTAATGCCCACATGCAATTTATGCAGACTAACATAAACCAATTGTCATAGTTTTTGAGACAGACTGAGCAGCAGCACATACTATCACTACAGAAGATAGGAACTGAAGGGCCAGAGAGACTCGTTTCCTTTGGACTTGACTCACATAATTTAAGACAAACAATTGCAATTCTAGCACTAAATTATCTTCTCGTACAGATCTGATACACTGGGTAGATGAGAAATTCATCAAAATAACCAATGAGATAACATAAATATCTTTTTGTTCTATCACATAAAAGGACCCAAATAGTAAGTCAAGAATATTGTTTTCCCCAGATCAAGGTGGTACTGTGCTCTTGAGAGGTACAGGTAATCCTCAAATTACGACAGTTCACTTAGTGACTGTTCGAAGTTCCGACAACCCCCCAAGTAACTATGACACAATCCTGAAGTTACGAATGTCGTTCACACTTATGAATTAAGTGCATTTGCCCTTTCTATTCCCCCTCCACCCCAGCCAGGTCTCCACAGTCCCAGTGCCTGTGGAGACTCACTTACCTTGTGACGATCTAGGGAGCTGTCAGTTCCTTTGCCTGTTTCAGTGCATTCGTAGAGAACAGAGGCCTAAAGTAGTGTGAGATCACATGAGATCACTAGTACGAGATCTTGCCTGTACCACACTACAGTACTTTAGGCCTCTATTCTTGGTGAACCGAGGCCTCCACCAGATCCAGCCAAACAGCATTAGCAAGCCGATGAGACTTCGGGGCAGCAAAATTGCATTGCTTCATGCTTCCCATCGGCTGGGAAGCTGTTTTTGCGCCAAGATTGGAACAGTGCGAAAAACATTTGCAAGCCAATGGGAGCCTTGGAGCAATGCGATTTTGCTGCCCCAGAGTCCTGTTGGTTTGCGAACACTTTTTGCGCCAAGACTGCAAGCAGCAAAGAAACCATGGCAGAGAGGCTGGAGAGGAGACAGCTCGCTAGATCTTCACAAGGTGACTTGGTGCAGCATGATGGGGGGAGCATGAATTATCTCAGTGGGTCAGGGGAGGGCTTGGGTGGTTTGAAGCAGGTGGCCTGTTCCATCACTAGACAACCCCCCCCCACATGGCCTTCCCCACCCTGAGATACCTCATGTGTACTTAACGACCTGCACATTCGATTAGTGAATACATGGGCAAAAGCAGGGAGTGATCACGTTCATTTGATGTGATTCACTCTAATGAATCCTTGGGTTACAGATGTAATTGGAAGGCTCCATTACATTCATAACTCAAGGACTACCTGTATACTGTGCTTAAGGATGCACTCCAAAAAATAATAGTGCAGAAACAAACAACAACGTTTCATTTTATTTGCTTATACATTTAATTAACATACCCTGCAGTATACATAATGACTACAAATAAGGAAGAATATGAAAAAAGGAAGGAAATGATCTCGTTGCCTTTGGTGACTGAAACCTGGCTTTAAGCAGAATCCAGTTTTAATAGAATGACAAGTACAAATAAAGATCACTACAACTGCACAGCAAATCCTTCGCTCATGTTGGATAGAATATGGAATTAGGTCACTAAGGCCAGTATATTATATTCTTAAACATTATAGATAGGCAGCAAGATACATATACATGCCCATGCATGCAGACATTCATAAATATTGATAACTAGCATGATGTAAAGGTCAAGGAGCTGGCTTGGGGCCTAGAAGCAGGAAGAACCAGATTCTACTCCTCCCTTAGGCATGGAAGGGAGCTGGGTAATCCTGGGCCAATCAATGCCTTTCAACCTTAATCAGCATCAGCTCAGCAAACAGCCAGCTATAAAGTAAAACTCCAGATTTCATCATGCTTTGATAGTGATTTGCTATAAGGACTATAGGAAAAGCAGTGCAATACAAGTAGACAACCAAGTGGGACAAACGCTAAGAAAAATATGTATATAAATTTAAACTTACGTTTTAAAGCAAGGGTCTCCAGACATTAGTTGCATGCTGATTAAGATCTACAAATCAGTAAGAATGAAATTTTAAAAAATGAAATCAAACTGCAATTCCAAAAATACGACAAGAAAAAAATTAATTATATTCTATCAAGTGAACTACCAAACAGAGCTATTACAAAAAAATGGATTATAGTTACAGCATATAGATTAAAACCTCTTATGAAAAACAATTACAAAGGCCTAATTGAATACCAATTTTAAAACCAAATGCATTAACAAAGATTGTGTCATCAAAACCATCTCAGAGAAAAAAAGTAAATTGCATAACTTCAAGTATTTTACTTTTTCTGTGTTCATTATATCATCAGATATACTGTAACTAATGAGAAAACAAACAAAAAAAAAGTATTTGGGTAAACTAAGGTGCTATTTATGCAGTCCCTAAAATACCCTTAACGATTTAAGCACTTAATTCTGATGGGTTTTCGCTTATTTACAATTTTTCAGCAGATATCTTATTAAAACAAACTAATTCCTTTAGGTCCCATTTACTGTACTGTGATCACGAATGGGGATGGAAGGAAAAGAGGAAGAGAAGTATGAAATAATGGATGATTACTGTGCTTTGTTTTCCTATTAGCAATTAGCAAAAAGCTACTTCTAAAAAACCAAAATGAAATAGCAAAAAATTCCCACACAATTACTTTGAGAATTGAATTGTCCTGCCTTGTGTTTTTGGTATCATAACCTTCCAGTAAGCAGCGGCGAGTGGTATTTCCTGATCCGGCAAACTCTGCCAGGTTAAGATCTGCAAAACCCAACTATTGACAAAAGAATAAAGTTAGTAATCACAGAACAAAAAAGAAATAAAACACATTTAGGCTTTGTAGCATGCCTTATCATCTTTGTGCTACATAACTAAGTTTTATAATGCCTGATATCATTCATAACAATAAGAAGTCTATACTGCACTATATCTCTAAACTAATATTACGGTATGAAAAGGAAACAAAAAGAGGCATTGTATTATAAGTGTTATCTTTTTACCTTTGCGTAAGTCTTCCCTCCTTTTAATTCCTGCAACAAATAAATAGTTGTAGTCAAAAAACCAGATCAAAGGAAGTTATATGGATTCATTATAAGGAAACATAGCAAGCAACTTCATACAATTGGCTGCATTCTCTGTAAAATTTGGATGTTGCGATTGTTATCAAAGGGAGCCGCTAATGTTTATTCTTCTAGGTCTGGATGAGGCAGAGTAAAAATAAGGAAAAGAAACAGCAGACTACCAGCGCTTTCCCTTTCCCTTATTTATTTCGAATCTGAATCTCAAGGACCTATTGAATCTGTAATGTTATAATGCAGTATTGGAGGCTAACTCTACCCACAGCAAGAGTTTGATCCTGACCAGGTCGAGGTTGACTCAGCCTTCCATCCTTCCGAGGTTGGTAAAATGAGGACCCAGATTAAGGCAATAAACTGATTCTGTAAACCACTTAGAGCAGGGTTGTCAAACTCAATGTGGTTGCGGGCTCCATCAGGAGTTTGTTTGTCCTTGGGGGCCTGGGGTGGATGTGGCCTGGGTGATGTGACTGACTGGGTGGGCGTGGCAGGGGCCGGTCCCTCGCAGTCTCTGGGACGGCTCCATAGGCCAACTCTGTGGTCTATTGCAGTCCGGATATGACCCATGGGACGCATGTTTGACACATCTGGTTTAGAGAGTGCTGTAAAGCATTATGAAGCAGTATATAAGTACTATTATTATTGCTATTGCTATCTTAAAGAATCTTTTTCACTTTTGAGATAATAAAGAAAATAATATGGATAAGTATGTAAGTGTATGTATGGGTGTATGTATGTATAATCACAAATCTAGATTTAACGGCACTGTCTTAATCCAACCTTCTTCAATTTAGGGCCTTCTACATATTGTGGATTTCAAGAATATTGAGCCAGCATGCATAGTTTATATTACTATACACAGTATGTGCTGCAATCCATTCAAAGCTCCAACATTTAATAATAATAATAATAATAATAATAATAATAATAATAATAATAATAATAATAATAATAATTTTATTTCTATACCGCCCTTCTCCTGAAGGACTCAGGGTGGTGTACAGCCTATTTAAAAACACAAGACAAACATCAATTTAAAATTTAAAATTATTAAATAAATTTGGCTCCATTTAAAACCCCAGAAATTTAAAATACCCCAATTTAAAATTATCATGTCGATAGCCCAGCCTGGCGGAACAACAGGGTCTTCAGTGCACAGCAAAATACCCAGAGGTCGGGGATCTTACGTATTTCCGGGGGCAGTTCATTCCACAGGGCTGGGGCTCCCACAGAGAAGGCCCTCCCCCTGGGTGTCGCCAGCCGACATAACTTGGCCGATGGCACCCTGAGGAGACCCTCTCTGTGGAGCGAACTGGCCGGTGGGAGGCTATTGGTGGCAGAAGTTGGTCTCGAAGGTACCCAGGTCCTATGCCATGGAGCACTTTAAAGGTGGTAACCAGCACCTTGAATCACACCCGGAAGACCACTGGGAGCCAGTGCACCTCGCGCAGGAGGGGTGTCACATGGGCACAACGAGTTGCGCCCATAACCACCCGCACGGCCGCATTCTGGACCAGTTGGAGCCTCCGAGTGCTCTTCAAGGGGAGCCCCATGTAGAGAGCATTACAATAGTCCAGCCGGTAGATGACAAGGGCGTGAGTGACCGTGCACAAGGCGTCCTGGTCCAGAAAGGGCTGCAATGGCGAATCAGGCGAACCTGATAAAAGACCCCTTTTATCTTGTATTTCAAGATACAGCAGTCTTAAATTCTTATGTTATGAATACTGTCCTCGCTATCAACTTGTAAAATACCTTTTGTACATCAGTAAGGGATTAGGAAATAGCTAGAGCAGAATATGCTCAAACAATCTAATTCGAAGTAACAAAATGAATAAATATATAAACTTATAACTTAAATGGGAAGAGATACTAAAAGTATCTGTAATTTTCAGGGACACAACTACAATATAAATGTAAGTATGACACCCATTTATACCTTTCGTACAGAGACTCTGCAGATGCAGGGATCCAGAATCCCTGTCGTGGCACTTGCACTTATTTTACATATAAACGAAAACCTCTTCTTCCAATGAACACAGTTTGCTTGAACCACTTCCCTGTAAATAGAAAAAAGTTACAAGATAATTAGACACTGACAACAGAAGATTTGTTATTTTTAGAAAATAAGCCCTTTAAAATTTAAGACACCATAGGACAATTCCCTCCTACAATGATCAGATTCTTCATTTTAACCTTAATAGCCATGTGGGATTATTTACTGCTAGTAAAATGTATCCAATACTGTTTTTTAAATATTTTTATTATTAAACCAGAGATTAGGGCGATGCCTGCAGTATTTGCAAAACTATGTGTAAATAGGTAAGGTTGATTCTCCCTTCATATGGAAAGATAATTTACTAACCATAAGGAAATTAATCATGGACTTCCTACTTTCCTTGCACATAATAATTTATGAGACTGATTTTCAGGAGGTATGACTTTGGGACTATATCTAAATAGAAACTAATACACTTGCTAGTACTGCATTTGGTATATCTAATCTCTAAGATGCTTTGATATTAAAAAGCAAAAACAAAGAATAAATTGGAGGGCTTAGCTGAAAGAAAAGGATTGCCAGAACAAATAATTTCTTTCATCAATCTTACCTTATTCTAGCAAAACACATTGCTGACCTCTAACTACACAGCTGTAATTAGATAAAAACAAGCAATACTATTGAAAGTTGAGATTGTATACCTCTAGCATTTACTTCTGCACAAAAAACAGTTGCCAATGCATTAACTTTGACTTTATCAAATTCTTTTAAAGTAAAAGAGTTAGGTTTAAAGTAAAACCTAACATGTCTGTGTACAATCTCTTGATATTTTTTAAAAAATATTTTACTAAATGTTGAAGACCAGAAATCTGACTGGAGAGATGGAATGAAGTGCTTAATTTCTCCCCATGTCATTTTTCTGATCAAAATTGATCACCCTATTTGGTTTTTATTCATGACGGGTAGTTCTTGACTTATGGCCACAATTGAGCCCAAAATTTATTTTGCCAAGTGAGACACTTTAAGTGAGTTTTATCCCATTTTACAATCTTTCTTGCCATAGTTGTTATAGAATGATCACATGACCATGGGGATGCAGCAATGGTCATAAATATGAAAAATGGTCATAAGTCATTTTTTCAGTGTGAGTTGTAACTTCGAATGGACACCAAATGAACTGTTGTAAATTGAGGACTACCTGTATTTCTCTGTGATGAATAGTTATACCATTCAGTTCACATGCAAATGTTTTTAAAATGAGAAGTAAGAAAATATTCTACTGGAAAATAAATGCACCTTCATTTCAAATAACTAAAAGTACCAAGCATTATTCTGAGCAATATTATCACACCCTTCTATCCAGTTTGTCTAAAATTTGATGGATATGGAATATGAAATATTATTTACAATATTAAGAAGCTGCCCAGAATTTTACTCAAGCACAAAACATTCAGAGCATCTTTTCCATTTCTGTAATGGAAGAGAGTTGTTAATTAGGTTCTGAATATCCAGATTATGAATAATTTATTCTATCTTGAATTTCCTAGTGACCACTCAAGTGCATTAATTTGTGTAGAAAATACATCCACCCACGAACCAAAACCTTTTTCTAAGACAGAAGAAAATAACATCTGTGGAAAGCCAACTGAGATTTTTAAAATAGCAACAACAACAACAATAACAGTACTCTACCCCTATACCTGGCTTTTTGGCAGCCAGTTATTAACAATCTGATATAATGTGGATCTTGAAATATAGGTTATAGCAAACCACAGTTTCTACAGTAACAAATGTGATAATCAATACTGAGATCGAGGGAAAAAGCTTTCTGAGCACAAATAATGCTTTGGTAAATCAGGAAACTGTGCAGTGGAAAAACTAACTTGATTCCACTTAACAAAAAAATAACAACAAATTAACTATAGTTTTATTTTTATTATTTATTTATTTTTTAGGGGAGAAGAAAGTACATTTTCACACAGAGAACACATTAACCAAGGAACAAGCTAGATTTAGAAGTGGCTGCTCTATTTTTGACTGTGTTCTTATTCCACAACATCTGATAGAAAAATACGCTTCCAAATCATGTGCAAAACTATATACAGCTTTTATAGATTTCTCTCTCACACACAGAATGTGCGTTGGTCTTGCCTGATACGCTCTTTCTGTGATAGGTGGGCACGGCAGTCATGCCTGGAGAGTGACACTGCCTTGCTCCAATGGGACCGAGTCTGCTGTAAAGTTCTTAAGTCCCGCCTCTTCCTGTGTAGTCCAGTTTTGAGACGAGATAGATCAGCAGACTGTCGTGTCTGGAAAAATAGAAAATACATGAAACTGCCACCCATCCCCATGCCCGGGAACGGCCCAACAGGGAGGGGCTGACTGCCGTGCCCACCTATCACAGAAAGGGCGTATCAGGCAAGATCAACGCCCATTCTCATGACGGTGAGCACGGCAGTCATTCCTGGGACATACCAAAGCCAATGTCCTATAGGGTGGGAACAGGCTGGATCGGGGAAGCAGTCTCCAGATGTACTCCTTGCAACACCCTCCGTCAAAATACCTATCAGCTGAGGCGTAGGCATCCAACCGGTAATGCCGGATGAACGGAGTAGAAGAGGACCAGGTGGCCGCCCTACAGACTTCCTCCAGGGGAGCCCTGGTGGACCAGGCTGCTGATGTGGCCGCGCTCCTTGTGTAGTGGGCCATAATATTCCGGGGAATCGGTAAGGCCTGGACTGAATAGGCCGTAGCTATGGTAGCTCTGATCCACCGGCCAATTGCCAAAGAAGACAGCTTGGTGCCCATGGACGAGGGCTGGAAGGCGACAAATAAGGCTTCTGTGCGACGGAAAGAAGACGTGCGGGCAATGTAGATCCTGAGGGCTCTGCGAAAGTCTAGAGCAGTCGTTCTCAACCTTCCTAATGCCGTGACCCTTTAATACAGTTCCTCATGTTGTGGTGACCCCCAACCATAAAATTATTCCTGAAACTATTGAAAATATGTGTTTTCCGATGGTCTTAGGCGACCCCTGTGAAAGGGTCATTCGACCCCCAAAGGGGTCCCGACCCACAGGTTGAGAACCACTGGTCTAGAGTGTGCCATGCCCTTTCTAGCCGGTGCTGCGGCGACGGGCAGAAATTGGGAAGAACAAGTTCCTGCGATCTGTGGAAGACTGAGTTGATCTTGGGGATAAACGCCAGATCCAGATGCAGGACCACCCTGTCAGCGTGAAAAATACACAGATCCTGACGGATTGACAGTGCCACCAATTCCGAAATCCAGCGGGCTGAGGTTATGGCTACCAGGAAAGAGACCTTGAATGATAGAAACTTGAGGTCCACCTCCCGAAGAGGTTCAAAGGGATGTCTGGTGAGGGTTGACAATACCTTGTTAAGATCCCACGTAGGGAACCTGTGGATCACTGGAGGCCGGAGGTTTGCAGCTCCATGTAAAAAACTGTGAATCAAAGGATCCTTAGGCAGAGGGATTGCTGAAGAGTAAGACAGAATAGATGAAATAGCGGATACCTGACGCCGTAGAGTATTCGGAGAGAGACCTGAAGAAAAGCCGTCCTGCAGGAAACCAAGGATTTGAACCACCGATGCTGAGGTGGGGACGATACTGCACCGTCTACACCATTTGGAGAAAGCATTCCATGTGGCGTCATAAATATGAGTGGTAGATCCGCGGCGAGAGGCTTGAATGGTTGCGATGACCTCTGGTGGGACCTGAGCCTCAGTCAAGAGGCACGCTCAATCTCCAGATGGCTAGCTGGAAGGATTGAGGATCTGGATGAATCAGCTGTCCTTGTAGCAGCGACACCTGTCCGTTGGGAATCCTCCAGGGAGGGGCTACCGACAGGGACACTAGGTCCACGAACCAAGGATGCCGAGGCCAATGGGGCGCCACCAGTACGAGCTCTGCCTCTCCCTGATGAGTTTCCGGATCACCTTGGCTACAAGAGGAAACGGAGGAAAGGCCTAGAGAAGAACTCCCTGTGGCCATGGGCTGCATAACGCGTCGACTGCTTCCGCTCCCTGAGCGGAGAAACAGGAAAAAAAACGGGGCAGTTGATGGTTGAGCGCTGAGGCGAACAGATCAACCCAAGGGTCGCCGAACCATCTGGATAGCTCCTGGAATAGACGAGGGTGTAGACTCCACTCTGCCTGGTCAATTGGATTGCGTCTGAGGGAGTCCGCCTGAACATTGGACACCCCCGAAATGTGTTCTGCCCTGAGAGACACCAGATGGAACTCGGCCCAGAGCCCCAGACGAAGAGACTCCTGTAGAAGAGCTCGGGAACGGGTCCCCCCAGTCTGTTTATGTGTGCTTTGGCAGTGATGTTGTCCATGAGGACTAGAATGTCCCTGCCCTGGACCTGGGCCTGGAATCCCTGAAGGGCGAGGAAGATCGCCCTGAGTTCTAGGAGGTTTATGTTGAGGTTGCATTCCGGGGGGGACCACCTGCCCTGAATCATGTGCGTCTCCAGATGAGCTCCCCCACCTACTAGGCTGGCATCCGTCGTGATGACTAATCCTTGAAGTTCCAGGAACGAGCAGCCCTTGGAGACATTCGCAGGTGTCCACCATCTGAGAGACTCGACGACGTTCATGGGCAGAGGAAGGAGGAAGGTTGAGAGACGGTTGATGTTTCGCTGGTAAGGCAGAAGAAGCCACTGCAATTCCCTGCTATGAAGACGAGACCAGGGTACTATACCGTAACAAGACACCATCTTACCTAGCAGGCTAGACAAGCCCCGTAGGGAAGCTGACCGGGATTGAACAAAATGGAGGGCCATATCACTGAAACTATCTTGTCGATCCTGGGATAGGAAAACTTTAGCTGACATCGTATCAATTACCAACCCTAGGTGCTGAAGACGGGTAGAAGGAGCCAAATGATTCTTCTTCCAGTTAATGGAAAACCTGTGAGCCCTCAAAATATCAAGAGATGTGGCAACGTCTCGACGAGCCTGAAGCTCAGATTGGGAAAGGATGAGGATATCATCCAGGTAAAAAAGGATCCTGACAGGGATGGAGAAAATGTGAGAAAGAAGGG